GCTCCTGGGGAGGAAAGCTATGGCAAATCTAGACAGCATACTAAAAAGCAGAGACATCACCCTGCCAACAAAAGTGCGTATAGTCAAGGCCATGGTTTTCCCAGTTGCAATGTATGGATGTGAAAGTTGGACCATAAGAAAGGCTGAGCGACAAAGAATTGAGGCCTTTGAACTATGGTGCTGGAGAAGACTCCTGCGATCCCTTGGACTGCAAGGCGTTCAAACCGGTCAGTCCTAGAAGAGATCAACCCCGACTGCTCTTTAGAAGGCCAGATTCTGAAGTTGAAACTCAAATACTTTGGCCACCTAACGAGAAGGAAGGACTCACTGGAGAAGGGCCTAATGCTGGGAAAGATTGAGGGCAATAGAAGAAGGGGACGACAGAGAATGAGGTGGCTGGATGGAGTCACTGAAGCAGTAGGTGTGAACATAAATGGACTCCAGAAGATGGTAGAGGACAGGAAGACCTGGAGGAATGTTGTCCATGGGGTCGCGATGGGTCGGACACGACTTCGCAATTAACAACAATTAGGGCTGAAGGCTTTGTAAAATAAAACTCTTTTAATTATCTTCTAAGTACATATGGTCAGGGCATATTAGCTATTGGAGGTAAGGAGTTCCAAAGAATGGGGTTCACCATGAAGAAGGCGTGTTGTTTCATTTATGTTTCCTCAACTACAGATAAACTGATCTTTTAATAGGCTTTTTAAGATATTGTCACTGGATGGGCATAATCAGTTCAAAGGAGTCCAAACAAGTATACTCTCTTATTTAGAATGTATTTCTATAACTATACGGTATGTTTCTCTGAGATTGGAGAACCTTTATACAGATTGAGCCTCGAGTTACAGGTTTTTTTAAAAAATAAGTCTAATGTTTGAAGGAACTGTAAAGTGAAATACTCCATTTGTCATTCAGCCTAGCCTGTTTTGCAATACTAATTTTGTAACATGCCTGAAAGTTATTTTTGAAGATTTTGTCAGACAGAAAAATGCAAAATTCATCAGCTTTAGCAAGCTGAGCATTTGGTGCAGAAACATGCTACTGTATAGAGTTTCAACTGCTGGTTCAGGATGTGGGCTTGAATAAGAGAGGCTTACATGACCAATACAATAAAAGCAGGATCGACCTAATAAAGTACATAATATTTTTGTTAGTTAAGATACTTCATACAGAATAACTGCATTATTTCACATTTGTTTTAGCATTTATGAAAGAATCAGGATGCAAGTATGCATTCAATTGTCTCCATTCATTGATAGGAGAGGTGATATCTTTAATTACTCTCAATTGTTTCTTCTTTCTTTGATTCATTTTGGATACCTTCAAAGTTGAACTCATGGAGATGGGAACTAGTAAAATTTTAATTGCTGCCCAAAAGAAATTATGCCATTACACAAAAGGCTTGTTGTTTTTTTACTGTGGAAATCTGTTATTGTGATTGAAAATGACTGCAAGATCCTAGTTTCCAAAGTGTCGGCAAAGTGCCATAATTATGGAGAAAGGGATATACTGCTAGTAGATGCCCTTTGTTCATCTGGTCGTAGGAAATGAGATGGTCCTAGCTCCA